TCTCCTTTATCTTGCTCTTGACAACAATGACTCTGATAGCATACGAAATTTCCACAAAGAAGGCACAGAGCGGATTCATGAGGTACAGTATTGCATTTTTTGCAAGCTCGCTTCAGACTTTCCTCAAATAGAGCATCCAAATTTCTTGGCAATAAAACCAACTCAAATACTGCTGGATGATTCATTCGGACGCTAATATTTTGACGCTTATTACTGGAGGAGATGCCACTTGATACGAGAAATTCATGATCAGAATCTGAAGAATTGACTGTTGGTAACGGTTCCTGTCGAAGTGTATACAAGTGATGACACCATCCAGCGATAATCGCCAATATGGTCTCATCACTTGTATTAGTATTGTTGCATAATGAACAAATTTGCTCTAATGAAGGAAGTCCAAGTAACTTGGATAGCCTTGAAAATTCGGACTTCTCGGAGTCAGAATTGTCCAATAGGTTAATGGGAAACACGACGCCGTATCTTGTATGTAATAAAATAATACATTTTCTCAAATAAGGTAAGCAGAATGATTGAATCATTTTCAAGAAAGTCTTTCCATCAATATCATCAAAAAACTTTGTAACATCGTTTTCTTTATAACCAACTTGCTGCAATAACCATATAACAAAGTCTCGTGTTGATTGTGGTTCTGAGAATGATTGGCTATTGCCAAAATTGTTTTTTAGTCGCTGATCATTCTTCCAAGATTTTTCCCCTTCATTTATCGTAGACTCAACCATCGAGATAATGGCTCGAACAATTTCAGCCGTAAACAGTAGGCGCATCATGTGGTGTATTTCGTAATCAGCAGCAGAGGCCGTAAACATGCTAATTTCGACGAGCACTAAAAATGGATCTTCAAGCAATAGGGGTTTGACTTTGGTGAATTGAAAGCTGGGACCGAATATCCCATTCACCTTTTTTGAAGAGTCGGCGACAGGACCTGATATTAAAGTTTGTACAGAATTTCCATCACATTGTTGAAATACTGGATGACCATAAAATATCTGCTGTATGCGGTGTGATGACAACTGTTTTAATCCCAACTCGCCGCGTTGGCCAATCAACATTGTGTTGATATAAGTGAGTATTGTTTCCGATAGAACCCGAAGAAGTGTTAATGTTTGTGCATTGATACCATCAACCAAAGTTATCCCTGTGACACCTTCGCTATTCGTATTATTGAGACCTCGTTGACTTATTTCGATGCAGGATATTGTGTATCCAAATAAATCCCACATGTACTCAGCAGACTTAATTGACACGTGTTGAAATGTCATCTCAGAAAAATTTCTACGATACATTTGTATTACCTCATGCAATCGGTTGTACATTCGACGTATTGTTTCCTGGTCGTCGTCCTCGGACGATCCTGCAATCGAAATTGAGGATGTAACCGGCAGTGAATGGATCTCACCAAGCGTCACAGTGGTCACACCAGCTTCATTCGCGGTATGAATGGCGGTCGGCGTTCTTAGCATGTGAACAATTTGAGCGAATGCATCTCTGATTCTGCCCGCCCCGCCGCTATCGCGTCGTCTGGGTTGGTTAATTGGCACCTGAGAAATATTTTGGGGATAACCATTATCGGCTAAATCACGCACTTCAGATGTTGTTCCGGAAGAAAAAGACGGTGGAAAACGGCGAGCAAACTCAACACTAGAAAGTAACATACTCGATCCTGATGGAGTAAAATGCGTATTCTCATTCACCTTTTCTAAACCTAGACCAATATTATCACATAACCAAGTGTTAAAATCGACGTCGACCTTCAAAACTCCGGGATATACCTCTTTCTTTGATTTCCAAACAACAGGCAACAACACATTCCCCAAACTCTTGCACAAGGGACAAATGAATTCTTTACGTTTAACATCCTCAGGTTGATTTCTTGCTAGTTGCAATTGATGTCTTTGTTCCAAGGACGCAAAATAATTGTCAAAGCATTTTACGTGCATCAAATGACCACAAGTCGAAGCGTACATTCCAGCACGACAAGAATTAGACGGGAAACCATTGATCGATGATGGGTTCGCAAGCGATCTAGTTGAACGGTCATACTTGCAATCCAAATTTTCTGATAATTCGATTACTTCGAAAACATAATCACTATTCTCAAACGGTGTCCTCCGTAGTAGCGTTGAAGGTTGAATAAGTCCCAACATTCCATAAAGGGATGAGGCATTGGTTTCCTCTTGGCATACAATACAAGTTCCCGTGGGATATGGCCAAACGGTTTCAGATGGAATTAAATTATTTTCTCCCAAGTGATCTTCGTTGGAAGGCATTTCCCAATCCTGATCCATTTCATCGTATTCATCATATAATTCTTCATTTTTATCTATAAAACTTTGTTGGGCTATCGCAAATTGTTCCATTATCTTTTTCTGCCTCTCCTTTGCTGCTTTTTTCTTCCGTTCATATTCGGTCAGTTCACTTTCTTCCCCACCCTTTGACTGTAATTCGGCACGTAATTTTTCTCGATGTTTTCTAATAATCAACTTTGCGCTATCGTTACCAAGCTGTTCAAATTTATCAATTATGAACTCTATCTTATAATGGAATTCTTTGAAGTTTTGTTCACAAGATAACTGGAGCAATAAATCCAATAAACTTGTGCCTTGAGCTTTTGTGGCACTTCTACCCTCCTCGTGGAAACAATCCGACACTGCATAATACACAAATCCGGTTACACCTTCACCAGCGTTAGCTGATTCATCAACCGCTTTTTGTTTTCCTTTCCGTTTGATCTCTTGAATTATATCGTTATTCTTATCCAACAAGGCCAACATGACCAAATGGAGGGCCTCATCCACTAGTGTATCTGATTTTATCTTTTCGTCAGTTTTCACGTGCCACAAGGCATAGTAAACAATTTGATTCAACAGACGCGCGTGCAAGAGATTACCCAATCGAACGTAAGGTCCACTGGTAATTGGAATCAATTTTGGTATGATCAACGGTGAAGCAGATTGTTTTTCAGAATTGTCCATTTTTTTTCTCATCCTATTCCTTAACGCCTCCTCAGCTTCCTCACGGTTATTACGCGAATAGTGGATAAAGTAAGGATCAACTTCTTCAAAATATTGGTCCTTAAGTTCATAAATTCCATGATCGGTGAGGGTGTCCGGTGGACGATAATTGGAAAGTTCAAACAGTATTTTGTCAAATAAGAGGTCTTGCGTAAGGCGATCAGATATACGTTTTGCCAACTCGGAATACGCCAGAGGTCCAAGGCATAACCCGTGAATAATTTCACGCCTAATTTCTTGTTCGATATTTAAACCAGCAACATTCGCACGCTCACTAACGCAAACAATTAAAAGCGCCAACAATTCTTCAGCGATAAAAGAGAGTTGCGTGTTATCATACACTTTATGGTTAGTTATACCATTGAACCAATCGACAAGATCGAAGCGATCTAGAATAGAGGCAAGAACCAAGTTCGGATCCAAAATCACAAATGCGGTCTGAAGAAGAAGGATATCTTCATCATAAGTATTTTCACGGAAAGATACTTCACGATAATGGTGACACTACGTGAAAATTAAAGTCAGCTTAAAATATTATATAACCGTCGGAAACGAAATAATTACCTGTCCTCGAATACCGAAACCATTTCGAACCCACAATCCCGAACGAATCTGCACCAATAAGACTAACACTGCAAAGGAAAGAAGTGATGAGTAAATTTCCAAGATTATGATCAAGGAAAAAAGAGAATATCTTACGATTCACAGCAACAATAATGAAAAGAATTGTTATGTAAGCTACCTCTCAAAGGGTAATCCAAAATACAAAGGATTTTTTCCTTGGCTCTTTGATTCAACTCCTCTTCACTGTTAACATCGAATCCCAACATCATGTTTTTAAAGCTGCTCCACCCATGTTGTTTTAACATATCATCGTCCAATAATTCGATGTGCTCCAATAGTTCAGCCAAAAACCAGTGTAAGGGGTGATGAAAACTAATAGGTTGTGTGGCCACCTCGAATTTGACAACCCTAAATGAAAGAAAGTAAGGGTTTTGTGGAAATACTACATCATGAAATTCTTGTTCTCGCAGTGAAGTGGTGGTATTGTCTCTATCATCATTTCCAACATCTGAAAATTTGTCACTTTTCGCGAAAGGCCCGTATGAGTCTGGTGTTGAGGTTCCCCATTCACAAATTATTGACTCCTTTTGCTGTTCATCACTGGTCTCATCCATTTTGTCTGCGTCATCATCATCATCATCACGTCTTGTACTCCATTCATATAGTTTACGTAAAACAGTGCGGACAGTCATACTTAAAGTTTCGGTGTTTCCAGTATAACATTCGGAATACTGGCGACAACTCTTTGCGATTTGCAAGGTAACATTGAAGGCATTGACCCAACTGTCATTCTCGTACTCTATATGTTGTTGAGTGGCTCGTACGTTTGGATTCATTCCTTGAAACAATGAAATGAGGTTGAGATATTGTGACAGATAATGTCGGTGTTTGGGAACTGCTTTTTTCACATCATCGTTATTAACGATATAACGAAGATCTTGAAACACATGGAAATATCGTCTGTTTTTAAAACTATCGGAATCACAATCTATTTTAGCATGAGGATTGACATCAGCGATGCCTCCGACAGTATTTGAAGTGAAAAATGTGTAAAGCATTGCAAATATTGTTGAAAGCAAATTGTATTGGGCCACAAGTATCGTGGAGATCGTCGGAACCGTAAAGAGTTGGACAGAGAAGAGTAATATTGAATGCTCGGGTTCACGGTCAGGAGTGAGGAATGCCTTCGCGAGTTTGACGTAATTACGAGCGAAACGAATGCCTAAATGCAAAAATATTTTTTAGAAAATATATTAGTTGACATATGGAAACAGGGTAAACTAAACGTTGAAAACCCTGTTGAGAAAAAAATTAAGTATAAAATTTACCCATAATCTTTTTATATTCAGGATTAACTAGAAGAGTTCTAACGTATAATTCCCTGAGTCCAGACCTGGCTTCCTTCCAAAGTCTTACATCCAAGTGTAATAACACGTCTAATCTTAATTTCTTTTTGAAGTCTGCGATTGACTGCATTAATGTGGTTCCACGTTGTATAATAGATTCGTCTTCATCCATCGGCTCTATTGTGTCATCTGATTCTTCCTCCATCGAGACATCATAATCACCACCATATCCAGACGATTGATTGTAATCAATATCAACAGGAGGACCATTATCATTTTCTATTACGACCATAACTTCATCGTCACTCATGTATGCGTTCTGTCTATCCCCAATAAAAACCTCGTTATAGGCCCTATTTTTCTCATCGTGTTCCTTGATCCTTGGGTGTTTTGTTAGATGAGGCCTTTTCCATTCTTTGCAAAGTTCTTCACAAACAATATCTCCTAGCAAGGTGCCGTTTGACCTTATCTTTCCTTTTACGAGATCTTTCAGCCAATCGATGAAAAGACCACACATTCCCTCACGAAAAGTATCTCTTGCAGATCTTACAGTGACTGCCAAACCTATGGACGAAATCTCTCGTGATATTGTGAGAAGACGTGGAATATCCTCAGATAATTCAACGATGTCTCTTCCCTAAACCCAATAAAAAATTTTTGATTGAATAAAGGCACATACCAGATTGATAAAATATGTAAATATTACATACATATGAATCGACCCTTTCCGCCATATTCTTCGCCACCTCTTTAGTACATTCAGTGGCATCAACGACATGATCAATCACTTCATTAAAAGAATGATTTTCGTCATTCCAAAGAATAACGGCAAATAATTTCTCTTCCTCCGCACTACTATCTGTGTCATTGATAGAATTTGCGACGTCTATCGCCTCTTGTCTCACTTCTGACTCATTAAGCGGAGGACTTATATCCTCAGGGGAAGCAGATAAAGTCTCTAACATGAAATCAAGAACAGTTGAAATAGTTTCGTGCATCGAATTTAGGAGATCAGGGGGTAAATCTTCTTTAGACTGTATATCTTCAAGATCTGCTGAAGTTGTATCTTCTGGTGAATGATAAATACAATGAATAGGCCTTTTCCAGGCTTCTGGGTCGCCACAATCACAGCAACCTCCAGATCCACCTACAGCAAATATAATATCGTGTCCCTCGTGATTCGTAGCGTGGAAGCAACGAGAGCAAAATACGCACGTTTCGTCGAGTCCGCAATCTCTATTCATTTAATATTATATAAAGGTCAATGATGTATTATTTATTAATAAGTCTTCAAGTTATGAGCGAAATGAAAATTCTTTTTAAAATTTCCATTCAAACAGATCACACTGCTCACCTGCAACGGTATACACCTTCGCCCTTCTTAAAAACGTGACCGCAAGCTTTTCCTTTTTGTGATGGTGAATATTCGGTTCTCCCTCCTTGGGATAAACTTAGTTTATATGCGTCAGGTCCTTCTCCGAAACCATTTGGAAAAAATAATGTTCTATATTCATCATTAGATCTCCAGAACTCTGAAAATAATCGCTCCAATATTTTTTGCTGTGCATTATCGGTAAGTCTATAATCAAAGGTTTTATGACAAGACCGCAAATATTTTGAGAGTGGTTGCTTGCTTGTCGAGGGAGAAGCCTCTGATTCCATTATAGAAACAATTGAGAAAAATTGATCTGTAAAGATTCATGAATTGAATAGCTTATATACTGCAATACATATTAATATTAATACAGAATTACAATAGTGGTCACGGGTATGTCGGTATGTCGATTTGTGGCACGTGGTAACGCTTCTGTCTACGGAGCAATAATAAAAATTATTGTTTGCATATACTGTATATGTATATAGCATATATAACTTGATTTGTTGTTACCTTTTTTATAATTAATAATATCGTATGTCTTCTTTATATTACTAATATCGTATGTCTTCTTTATATTACTAATATTAATAAATATAAATATGTGACATTTATAATTAGATATAAAAACAATTAATTATTAACAGTATATTTAATTCAATTTTTGTTAAAAATCAAATATATTTAACAATAATACATAAAAAAATTTTTTTTAAATTATATATTATTTTAAAAATATAAATTATATTAAATCATTGTTTTATAAAAAATAATATATATATTATATTTAAGACTAAGTTACAGTTAAAGATGGGTTCCTAAATTAAAGATAAGGACATAATTCAAATGTTTCTTACTATTAAAAAAGTTTTTTTTAAATATAAGGTCAAAAAAAAACTATCTACAAAGGTTTTTTTACAATTTAAGCCACTTGATCCAAGTGTTTTTTGAATTATGTCCCTATTAACATAATTAATCTATGAAATTTTATATGTTAAATAATTTAGGAACCCATTCTTAATTACAGTACATACATAAAATTATAAAATTTTATTAATATTTCAATTATAATCACAATTACCTATATAGGAATGGTCCACTAACTATTGCTAATATTAATCTTCACTACCTATTTTTTTTATCAGAATATTAACTTACATTTAGAAATAAATTTATATTCTAATCTTTACTACTATATAATAGTTCTATAACTATATAAGTAAGTATTTAGACCTGTGGATCTATAGTATAGTGGTTAACACTCCACAGATCAAATCACAAGATATCAGTTCAACCCCATATGAGGGCAATTGAATAGAATTAATATAGTATCTGATGCCATAACCTGTATAAGTGTTGTTTCTCATGAGAAGCCGTATCATATGCTAATCCAGCAAGTGTTGAGATTATGATTTCCAGAAAAGGTGTCGTGGTGCAACGATTATCCAGTTGGTATTACGATGATTACCGGAAGTTGTAAGGTGTATGAGGTGTCCACTTTCAGTAAAGATGACTTGGTGATTGTTTTCCCATGGTACCTGGTGTCTCTTCTTGCAAAGTTTCCAGAAAGGTCTTATTCCAATCCAGTAATAGATCACTCCGACAGTTATCTATTCTGAGAAGGCAGCCAAAACAGCAGTAAGTACCGATAGCTGAAACAATCTATGGGCTGTAAGTCTGTGAGATAAGTTTCTTAAACATTCTTGGATAGCTCTAGAAAGGTAGAAATTAAATGATACACCTATCTGTAGGTGGTCAGGTCTAAAAGAATTCTTTCTGTAGTGGTTCTATTTGCCAAAAATAGGTACTATCCCCAGTTTCCCACATTCAAACTTCCCCTTAAAAATTCCATAGCGCCAAATAGAACATTACGATATAATAATAACACTAACAGGGTTTTGGCACGTTAGCCTCAGCACAACTCCTCTGGGGTGACGCTAACAGTAACAAGTCGATATGAAGTAAAATTAATATAGTCTAGTGATGCGTAGAATTGTTCATAGATAGTAGTTCCTATAATACATGAAATACATATGTAAATAAAATAATAAAGTACACTAGGCAAGGCCCAGCTGGTTAAACACAAAAAAAAATTTTAAATGTACAGACTAGAATATACATTATTTAACTAATTATAATTAATTATTTTTTATATTTTAAATATCAAATAAAAAATCTAAAGAAAATTATTATATAAATACTAATATTTTTGTATAATATAATTTATTCTATAGTTTACTATATATTCTTAGTATAGTAAAAGTTTTTTTTTTACTGTTATTTTTTTTTACTGTTAAGTAAGGCATTTCTTACGATCTTTATTAATAAAGTAAAGTTGTTACATAATTAATATTGAGATGTTGAGATACATTGCTATACATGTCAGCC